ATGGTTTGCGATCATGGTTTGTCATTATTTGTGAAGATGGAAAGAAATGTTTTGTAACTACGTTCGTAGAAACTAAGCTCGCAACCTCGCGAGAGCCTACCACTTTTTTTTCTGAAATACCGATGCACATTTGTGAAACTTATGGTTATGTATGTGTGAGTACGTGAATATTACCATGCGATGGTTAAATTATCTGCAATAAACAAACACACATACAAACCATTATGAGACGTTAGAAATAGTCTATACTAGTAGTAAACTTAATTGCAGCGTGGAACATGTACAACAGATGCTATCACGGTTTACATCCACTACCCGTCGTGTAGGAAATGGACCGCTGATTGTTTAATACACATACACTGAAACAAGACGTTATGTTAAAAATGGTAACGGGTGAATATGTATGTCGGTACACCCCCCCCCCTAAACGCCCAACTCGTTATGGCCTCACGTAGTATACCACATATACGTTCAATGTCCGTTCGTATCGCAGGCACATTGGAAAACGATGTTGGGTCGACATCATTACGGCGATCAACACGTCTTAACTACAACTTACAAGGGGCATGCGGATGCAAGTATTGTTGGGATTTTTTTTTTGGTCGCGAGATTAATAAATAGAAAATTAAACTTGAGCTTAACCATGAGTATTAAGATCACGTAGGGAAAGCTTAGATCTGCTTGCAGTGTCATCTTCAAATTTCTTAAACATACAGGTCATGTCACCTGCTGTTACTGAACAACCAAGACCCAGTTTCGATTCTTTATGTAAACAAACTTATTGGGACCGTTGTATGTAAATTTGCATATCTCTAATTGAAATCCTGGTAATTCTCATCGAGATAGCAGACGCTGAGCCAAACAACCAGCATAATGAGTCCAGTGCATTGTTGAAAAATAAGTATTCACTTTTATATCATAAACGAGTACAAGGTTCCGGGTACGAATCACACAACACCAGCTAACAAGCAATGGTCACTCCGGTTAGGAATCAGAGTGTATTATGTAAATTAGACGAGATCATTGAATTCGATTACTAAGAATTAAACTTGAATTAAAGTAAGTCAGAATGTTTTTTTGTTTTTTTTTGGTATTTTTAAAAAGCATGGTATATTTAACAGTTGTAGATTGAAATATACCCAAAGGCGCCATGCCCACATCGTCGTCACTGAATGTCAATGTTCAATATCAAAAAGATTTAATAACCTTCTTTGGTGGTGCCAACTAACACACAAAAACTATCATCTTTATTGTCTAAATGTAGTAAAATCACGTTCTGGTATATTGTGGTATCTTTTTCATCATTTTCAACGTGTTCGACTTGAAAGGGGACGTGGACATTTCAAAGAAAGTATAATGCCGTTACGTGGCTCACTGAAGATGAAAAACACGAACGTAGTCCAAATGACGTGCAAAGTCAATTTCACTTCTCTGCAAAGTGAGCTAACTTACTATTGTGCCTGTTTTATTTATTCTAACTTGTGACGCCGTGCAGTTGGGAAAATGAAATAGTTTTCTTTGATGATTATAGTGTGATCGTGCTAGTAGCTTTTAAAAAGTCATTAATCTAGCCTCTGGATTGAAAAAAACAAGTTCTCAGGTTTGTCCGCCAACGCACAATGTCGGAGTGACGTATTTAATGAACAACGTACAATGCAACATGCAATGCATAATAAGTGAGCGTATGCAAATGTTTTGAAAAAAATATTGCGCCACCTCATATATATGTATAACGACAATTATCATTTAATGTTATTTATTTATTTATTTATTTATTTATTTATTTATTTATTTATTTATTTATTTATTTATTTATTTATTTATTTATTTATTTATTTATTTATTTATTCGAATTCTGGGTTAACAAGAAAATGTGAAAATTCGGAATTTTAAACGAAATCTGAACCGTTTGCCGTGTGTACGGCGTTGCTCTATCCTGTCTTCCCACTAACATAAGCCATAGCTCGCAACATTATTTCCGATATTCTCTCCAGTGAAGAAAAATACAGGAATAGGAACTCGAAATCCGGAGGCATTGTTAGTTGTGCTTTGTACAGCAAGAAGCGAATAGTGAGCGTGGGTGGTTCAGTAGTGTTGATCAAACATATTCCCTATTATTTACATTACCCAATACTTAGCGTACATTACAAAGTCATTGCCAAGAGAACGCAGTTTACATACGCCGTTTTAAATTACCATAAATATCGCGAGAATTTACTCTTGCGTACATAATGTTCGTTTCATTTCGCCGACAGGGAGAATTCAAAAAAAAAAAACTTCATTAAAAAGTAGTATATTTCGTCACGGTTGAAATGGATTAATGTCCTATTTATTATTACATTTAAAATAAGAGCCGCGTGCATCAAGTTGAACTCACAATGTACGCATTTCATTTTTAATGGAGGATTGAGATGGTCGCCATGGCGACCGTATACTATTGCAAGTGAACATCAGGTGCGTTTTAGAAAGGAACAGCTTGGTGTATGGGTGGTGGTTTTGGGGTGTGATTGGGAGAGGTAATAGGGGATCTGTTAATTTCACTCAACTAAGATATGTGACTAACGGACAACTTAGTAATGTCAAATAATTTTTGGCACGCGAATTGCGCGCTTACTATTCCCCCGTCATCCCCAGCATAACGTGATTCTCATCTCTCCATAGTATTATTAAAAGCCCAAGTGCAACTATTAAATTTTAAGAGAAGCGTTTTTATTAAAGCCGCAGAATAACTAACGTGGACATGACAATGGGATTCGTGCTAATCTCAATGATAAAAGAGGTCGTTACCTAAGCGGCAGCCTTTCTGAATACTTATATTCGGTCATTACTTCAATTCGTAAGTGATGTTCAATTTCAACGTCATTCTGACGATGGCATTATACGTACAAATACGGAATAATTTGCATACGTGCTAAGGAACCAATATCATCCTAAGCTCCCTTGAAGGAAATTAACAATATCCGTGTGTGCTAAAATCTATTTTCTTATTTTCTTTTGTTTCTCTTTTTATTTATGTGTATTGTGCACAGTTCGTTAAACTCTTATTCATTTTTTTTTAAATTTTGTATTTATTTATTTATTTATTTATTTATTTATTTATTTATTTATTTATTTATTTATTTATTTATTTATTTATTTATTTATTTATTAAATAATTTATTTATTTATTTATTCTGTTGGTTTATTTTTTCTCAATTGTGCAATGTTAGTGGAATTCGTATGCGCTGTTTTTTTTTTTTTAAATAAATGTTTGCGGCATCGCTCCAAGAAAAAAGAATTGCGTGACTAGGCGAAATGTTATAGAAGTAACGATCTGGTTTTGATAATGAAAAAAACACCGCGGGGTTACAAATCCAAGTGCAAAAGGAATGTTGACAACAGTGACAGGCACGATCGATGCATATCAAAGGAAACGCACAAGTTACGCGGTACTGATGCATTATTGAACGGTTTTATGCAAATGTAACCTTGAATTTCAGCTCAATAACAAGTACGGGGTCAAGTTTATGAGCGTACGGTTGCATCACGGTTAACTGAACGCAGGTTATATACGTAAATTTTGGATTGTAAACAATACCCAACAAAATTATAGTTGATATGCAATCCTAGTTTAGGTTCCTATGGAGATTTCGATATATATTTTTTAAAACGTATACATTTCGATGTTTTAATTTATGTAATACATGTTATAAATAATGAGGTCACATTTAGGTAATGTGATCGCATACTATATATAAGGGCGTTATTCTTATTCGCATTGACAGTTGGCGTTGTCATGACGCAAAAAACGAGGCATAATGAACAATACGTACACTACTTGCAGTCAACAGTTGTTGTCGATGACTACAACGTACTGCAAATACATGGAGGGGTGTGGGGCACAACTACCAAGAGAGTAAAAAAATGTTTGAATAGTACTCAAAATAGCGGAATCAGTAAATTTGGCGCGGGAAGCCATGTAAGGAGGTGGACAAAGAAATGACCTCAACAAGGACACAACGCCATTACACTCGTGGATAATTAGTAAATTAGTGATGTGTTAGTTTAATTAACGGCGTCAATACCCGGGTTACAGTAAGACGGACAGCCATGGAACATCCAGCTTTCTCAAAGATCGGATACTGACGTGGAAATCGAATTACGAATTTGGCAATTTGATTTCGTGTTTCCAACGTCATTGTCAAACTCGCCTCATTTGCATATTTTATATTAGCAAGTTCAAGGAGGCCTCGCCTCCCTTTGTGCGTTAGCTCGTTTTCAACAAAAGAATGCCAGTCGATTTTACACCGGAACTGCGTAGATCTGTGGCTTCGTTGGTGAAGAGTTCAAAATAATATTGAGTTTGAAACTGACCATGGGGCTGACTCCATTAAAATATAACTGAACTTCAGATATGCGGTGTATTTGCACTTGGAGGTCATGGGATGTTTGCTTTCAGTACACGAACACACCTTGTGCGCGGCCCCTCTATCTTACTGAAAATTACTTATATAATTTGTGACAACGCAATGGTTTTAAAAGATGATTAGTCACAATTTACGATTAAGTTTCTCCGAGAGATAGTCGTAAATATAAGCGAGATGTAGAATTATAAATTTTCATTGATATTGAAGCGATCTGTTTTTGTTTCATTCATTGTTCTTGTGCAATAAATTACGGTTTAATTTCAACTAAACCCATACATTCGTGGCACAGTCGACAACAATGCATTTCGTGTTGGGCGATGAAATGTTATGATTATAACATATCATTTATTCATGAAACTAGGCCAAACTTTGAATATTTATGACGTTGACGTAAACCGTGAACTGACCTCGATGTCAACCCAAATGCGGCAACTTACGAGGCGTTACGCAATTATTATCGCCGTCCAATCGTCGCTCGGGACTGCCTCATTTCGTAAGCAGTCAATCACAGCGCCCGCCATCAGGATTGGTTCAAGTGTAGGCCATGGTCTAATGTATTCTTTCACCAGCTCGCTCGTGGCGTTTATACTGGCATTTGGGTTCAAGCCCAGGTCAGAATTTGTGACTAACAACCTTACGCTGGTTACGAAACGGTAAGTAATAGAAGAGTTTCTTTCTATCCACTGGTATCATCGTTTTCTCCTGTTTTCCCGGTGAGTTCGAACATGGGGTGGGCTGTGGGTGGTGTGTAGGAGTAGGTACGTAAATTACGAATGTGTTATGTGGTGGAAACTGCGGTGAAAATGCGATCGGGTCGGTCTTCGCAATATGGTGTAACGTTCACATACCTAGCAAGCAAGCGTAATTAACAATGTATTGAGAGCAAGGCCATGTAGAGGACATCACACCGGCCATGACCTATGTGAGATGATTACATTTTTACGTACTTGGTAGATTATTTACGTGGACTTGAATCGTACCTGTACGGCGCTGCTTTAGCAGCGCGACGATTCTCGCAACAGTGTGTCATACGTAGGTAATCGCTTTGGTCACATGTTGGTTTACTGTTTATGTTACAGGACCGTATCCCCACATGCAGTACGCACAGTGAAGTCATATAAAGGCCGAAAGTAGGCACGGTCAGTATTGTTGCTGTATTAATTGCTCCTCAATACAATAGATTGTGGTGTCACGTGATCAAGTTAAGTCGTATATAACAGAACAGAGGAGATAGCTAGCATTAATACAGTATTACACAATGGCAAGCGAAGTCACAACAACTGCAGCGCCGGTCATTCAAAGCGATTCCGTTGACGACGCCGTGGACTTAGTCGTCCCGAAAAAACGTATACGCCATTCAAGCGACATGCTGCCTGCCGAAGACCACTCCGAAGGCTCCGCTACGGATACTTCCGAGCCGAACTCGCCGCTTCCAACGAACGCAGTTGTGGATAAGTCACGTCATCACCGTGTGCATTCGGACTCGGAATCCGATGGGGAATCATCAAGCGGGTCGACAAGTGCGGGGAAACCACATGGAGTTCGACTTGTGCCGCAACTATCACAGTCGGCGTTGGAGCAACAGTTTATATTCCCGTCAACATCGTCGGCAGTTACGATGCCACTTCGGATGAATACGAATAGGATGATGCGCCCGTTCAAGGCCTACACCGCAAGTCGGGATCTCCTGTCCTACGCTGGGCTCGGGGCTGCGGGTCTCCATCAACACTCCGCTGCTTTCTCTCTCGGGATGCCCACGTTGTTTCCATTCGGTCATGGTATGCACCCATCATTGGCACCCCACTTGATGAATTTAGCGAATGAAGCCGCCAAAACTATTAATCCTAATCAACATTACCAATTGCAGATGCCACGAAAAAGGCCAGTTCCGTCATCAACGGTAACCACAGCATCGGCATCGGCATCGTCCGCGGCGTCGGCGTCGGCATCGTCAACTTCATCATCGCCTCGCAGTCAGATCAGTCCAGACGGCAGCGCGTCATCGCCACCGGGACGAAAACACATCCAAAGTGATAAAAGGGACAGTACAAAAAATGCCGCTATCTCGTCATTAAATTCTTCGTTGTCTCAAAAGCCGTCGTCATCATCACCTTCTTCGTCATCTTCGTCGTCGTCGTCTACTTCCGCTTTACTCCCGCCAAAGAAGAGACGTTCTTTACCGGATGAGCTGAAAGATGAGTCCTACTGGGAAAGAAGGAGGAAGAATAACGAAGCAGCGAAACGATCTCGGGATATCCGGAAAGCAAAGGAGGACGAAATCGCGATACGGGCCGCTTTGCTGGAACAGGAAAATATACGTCTGAGAGTTGAAGTTGCTTCGTTGAAGGAAGAAACTGCCAGACTTCGTTGTATACTGTATAATGGTTAGGGAAAACCTGCAACACTTATCTTTCATGTTTCGATTTCCTGTAATTTAGATAGTATACCTGACCAAAAATACCTCTATATATTAAGAAGATAAAACTATTTTATTTTGTAAATACGTATCTCAGGTTTGAAGTAAAAAAAATATATATATACTAAACATTCTCCTGGGGTACGGGAGGTTAAACTTAAAACAATAGGCAATTGTTATAATTATTGAACACAATGTAACCAATAACTTTTTGTTAACTGTGAAGGCGGTTGAATGTGTTTGATCCCACAATATAGCGTAGCAATACATTTTTTTGGGTTGTTTAATATTGTCGTGTAACAGTTGAGCATAGGTACGCATGTTCTAGACGATACACTACACAGCGTGTTCACGGAGTGCGCATACACGCAACATGATGATATATCACCGAGGAATTGCGTTTCGTTAATGCAATGAGATGTTCTAAAACTGTGCTTTGTATGGGAAGCTTAATGTTTGCGTGCATAACGTATGTCAACCTCCATTCACCCACATGGGAGAAATGTTATCGTCATGTTATCGTTATAGAGCCTAAATATGGCTAATAAATAAATAGTCATAATATTCAGGGGAAATTGTTTTCGTTACCACAGCAGGGTAAAAACTTCGATGTTCAATGTATATTTTGAGTTTGTTTTTTTTTTGGATGGTGCCTTATACTTACGCGTTGCCACCATGTTGAGAGTAAATATAAAATTCTAAATCCCCCCCCTAAATACCATTTGTCTTCATCCCTGTGGCTGATGGTCGTGGATGTTCTTAAAGCGGGTTTTAGTGGCCACATTTCTGTGTGCACAACTCAGTGTAGAATCTCTAAATATACACATTTTCAATGTTACGATGGAAACCGATTTTTTTCCAGAATAATTTATGTGTACGTCGAATCTTTTGTCAAGAGAGTTTTAAACAAAATTATTGTTAAGACCATCACACGAAGGTCATTTACTGTAAAGACAAGTAATCCTTTTGGCACGAATATAACTTGTTATTATTATTATACATATACTGGTTGGTCTCTTGTATGTGGATGTGTTTGCTATACCTTGTTCCGCACGCGTTGAAACACCACTGTCCATTCATGAATTTGACGTGTGTTCATGCTTAGTGGTCGCATTTTGTGTTGATTTACGACATTTACGACCTTGTATTGCCCGATCGATTACCCCCCTCCCCGTTTGCATGTTTTAAACCAACAAAAGCAGTAATGCACATTATAAAATCCGGATTTTAGTGTTTTCAAAATGCTATATTATAAATAGATATTGTGTATAATGCGATTTAATGGAAAAGAGTGTGGTTGTTTCCGTCCATATTTCGAACATGTATGAATTGTCCACAGAGCACAGACGTTTCCTGTTTGATAATAATAATAATAATACTATTTGAATGTATTGTAATAAGTTAATTCATTTTATTAACATCGAAATAGAGAGAAACGGTCACTAAAACTAATTCAATTGATGATGCATGTAACTAGTCTGGACTGTGTTATGTTTCGTTAACGTGACGTCATCTTCCACCACCTTGAAATAAACATAGCTCACAATAGACAGCCTGATAAGAAAGAGAATGGACGGATACGGTACATGTGTCCTCGTGAGAATTGTTAAATATATATTTAAATTAAATTTTAGTACAAAACGAGATATTTATTGCCTGACACACCGTGGTATACAGAAATATCCGCCAAAAATTACGTTATAATTATCTTGGAAGCAACTATGCAGTGACGACGATTTGTATTGAATTTGTGAAACAAGAGGGCGCTATAACTGAACTTGAACTTCCTTGTTACATGCCTACAAAGAGTCATGATGCCATGGCAACGCTGATATTGGTTTCTTGTTAGCTAAGCAGAACACGCGGGATATTTTCTTTTCTGTAGCATGGAGGTCTATTTTTAACATTCATGCCCGTATCAAACATGGATCACTCTCTTTTTACCTGTAAATTACGTCATTTTGGGTTTTAGTTATTTCTGTTTTATGCCAAAATATAGGAGGTCAAACCGACCACCAGCCCATCCCCGAGAATTGGGGTTACAGTTGATACCGTCCATGTGGTTCATTCAACCAAATCTTGTCCAATAATTGCTGTAGTATAAGTAACAATAGAAGCACTATTGTGTTTTCTACCGTCACAAAACCAATAAATTATGCTTTTAAAGACTGTAATAACGCGAAAACACACATGTTTCATTGGGCTCACTTCCAGTAAATTCAATAAAGGTCAGGTAAATGAAATAAGCGCGGCAGGCGACCCGGTTTTACAACATAAGTGTGTCCGTAACGAAATTTAAATGTCTAATAAGTGCTGACTTGGAATGGGGGGGGGGGACTAGACTTCAACAGATATAAAAGGGCGGGGGCGTGCTTCACCTTGAATTACACAATTGATTCATAACTATACATTCACCTTGGCGGGTGTCCCGTTAGTTTTTGTAGGAGCGATAATAATAAACCGAGAACAGCTTACTTAGACGCATGCGTGTCGCTGCTCTAGATCTGTTGTGAGAAATGTTGGAGAAATTGCAGGCCAGATGAGAACGCCTTCAGTGTCTTGTCCGTGATGTAATTATCCCTTCGCGCTAACGGAGTCGAAGATATATCCAACAACGTCATATGACAGAAGTCTACTGTCAACCTTTTCACATACTAGCCAAATACTGACAACAATGTTGGGCGAGGTTCACAAGAAAATACGTATTTCGCATTGATTTTCAAAGGTAAATAGACAAAACATCGTTTACCAGTGAATTACAAATAGTGCTATTAATGAATGGCCTCTTTTGACCGCCTCCAACCCTCTGTCGTTAAATTCAAAAGCAGTAAGCGAAAACATAAGTACTGTTTTCTAATAGTTCATTGACCAAGTGTTATCAGTCATTTCGCTTTGTAAATTCATTTTAGGCACAAAACTGACCCGTCTGAAACGGCATCACAGTGTACCAACTACATACACACACGTGGCCAAGACCGACTAAATGTGGTCCACATACGACTCAGGTGAAATGAGCTACGCCTCGGTAAGCAGCCTGGCGCTTAAACCAGCTTTGAATATCATCGGGGAAAAAATCAATATTAATATATATTTAATATACGTTCTCACATGGGTTCTATATCAGTATTTTGAACTACCTTACACCCGCTAGGAATTGTGAAATCTAGCAATGAAACTAGTTTATCTTGTCGAGTGTCTGCATATCGGACTCGCCATCTGATTGGTTACAAGTATATGATGAGATGGTGATAAAATCACGCTCTCGCGTTTAAGTCATGAGAATTCTGTAAACTATTGAACTTTGATTTAGTACTGAGTTTATACGTTATAAAGTAATGGCACATGGTACACAGTGGATAAACATCATCCAAGTGCCAGGAATTCTTGTCTCTCAACACAGGTTCGTATAAAGTTCGATCTCGCGTCATTTCTGCGTGAGCAACATCCAATCTGCAGTAAATTCCGATTAAGAGCAAACGGAGTCAGTCGATTTGGCCATCGTCGCTTTAATAATGTACACGATGGAAAATGCTATAGACAAAAAAAAAAGAAGCACGTCTACTTATCAAAGGAAGCTTTATGTATATTATTAACTCAAATTGTTTTTGCGAATAAATTATGGATATTCGTTACACAAGTTTATCTTTAGCGCATAATGAGACTACTGTAGATATGCTAGTCATTAATTTAAAATATTATACAGTCTGACGCCCATGAGCGCACATTACAAATAATTTACTCTACTAGTAAAGATAATATGAAGAATTCAATGGTTGACAACATTGTTGAAGTTGATTATCTGTTTACCTGTTTTGAAGGATGGTAATTAACATTGTTTATTTTTTTTACGTTTGAACTGATTAACACAGATGGGTTTTGTGGTTTCGGGGCAAATGCGGGTTTTTTCTACTCAATAAGAAGCGAACCAATACTGACATCTGTTATTGGGTTGGTCACGTCACCGGAAATAGGATCATTTTCCAAGCTTCTAAAATGGAGATAATATCAACATTATTTCTTAATAATCCTTTACATCTTTAATACTCCTTTAATTCCTTTACTATTATTAAGTTGATATAGCGAAGAGAGACATTTATTTTAATTATTCACAACGCCGTGTGCTCTATAGTTTATCTTTGTATTGTATGCAGTATGCATGGTATACGTATTTACCACCAATGTGATTAGCACGCAGATACCGGGTCAAACGATTTAACGTAATCGTATCTTGTTATGGTCTCTGCGTAATGCTATCGTTGTGCCAGTCATCGCTATATTTAATTTTAGCTGGCAGGAGGTTGCTGGCCTGTTAGTTATAAATAATTCGCTGGGTCATACCATGATTTCTTAGGGGTCTGAAGGGGAATTATATTCGTCCACATGCATTTCAATACCACAAAATGACAATTGAGATAGATCGACGATGATACAATGATACCGACATTACCCTTTCAAATTACTATTGCTGCTTTTATTCCTCACTATAGCACTATTATCACCAGATCACGATGCAGCGCTGCTGCTACACCAGTGCAGTGCAAATGCAGTTCAGTAAATAACACAAGTTAGGGTTCAGTTCAGAGAAATTTTAAAATCCACGTATCTCACAACTTAAAAAATACATCTCAAAAAATTAAGAGTCAGGCTCGTTTTCAACTTCTAAATGCAACCAGTTCTTCGTGAGATAGCCACCATTCCCCGTTTCTACGAAAAACGACCATGAATATAACAATTTTCGGCATAACCAGAAGAAAATTAGTACAATCTGTAAACCATCGACATACTTAGAAAAAAAGCAGACTGAAAAAAGAAGAGTGACTCAATAGTTCAAGATCTCCTTGTATTACGAGAAATAAACCGGAAAAGAAAGAAGCCAAATCCACTGGAAAGCCGCCCTCTGTATGCATGGCGAAGTAAATTATTATGCGCAGGCATGAGATATTGAGATTTTTGAAATCCGTTACGTAAAAGAAAAATTGAGAAATTGAGTTAATATATTCTTGAAGAGTAAGAGATTATTACCTAGTTTTGGACCCGTGAAACTCAATTACACAGTAATAGTACAATTCTTAACTAAATTAATTATTTGATTTCGTCGTACGTATATACACATTATATAAATACGTGGAAAAAAACAGGAAATATAGAAAATACAAAAACCTGTGATGCATATCAAGATCATTACCATTTTTCATATATTTATTAAAGTTGGGTCTTCATAATATTGTGATAATGGAATACTTTTTAGACTATGTAATTCTTTTAAAACGTCTTGCACTGCAGTAAATTGAAAACTGTGTATGTTTAGTTTGGCAAAACTTGATACTGATATGTTTCTTTCACTAGCAAAAAGGAGGCGTGGTAAATTATAAGAGATCTTGTTTTAGAGTTCCTGTCACAGCATCAGGTTGAAGTGGATTCGGCAATGTGTATATTCCAATACTCTCGTAATGTGACTTGTGAGGTATTATCGACAATCAAAAGATTAAAACGGTCACACTGGTGACAAATATTGAGAAATCATGACAGTGATATGATTGTATCCAGGAATCGACGTAACCCAACCCAATCCAATCTGGTTTTCCATGTTTGGTCAGTAACCCAGGAGTCACATTTAACCACAGTCTGACGCCGAATCATGGATACTCACATGGCAGTATGTACATGCTACTCAGTGTGGATACTGTGAGGTAATAGTGATGTAAATAGTGCTAGTATTCCACGCCAAAACACGTTAAGTCAGCAAAGGGTTCCTAACTTGGAATGGGACATTGCATTGCAAAAAAGGACGAGAAACACATGAAAGCACGGTGTCATATTTCTATTTGTTCATCAAGTGAGCAAATCAAAGTTTCTTTTAGACTAACTCCATGCTAGTGGTGCCAA